AAGGGTGGTGTCCACCAAAGGGGCACTCTCCAGTTCACTTAGGAGGCAGCGCGTCAATGAAGCCAAAGGGGTTCTGTATATGGTGTAATTATAGACATGCACATGTGTGTTGCATTATTACTATTGTTGTATTATTATTCTTTTCTATTCTTATTGTTATATATCTAAAGCATCATTTGACCAAATGGAAATTGCTTTACCCGTCATGATGGACAAATGTGGCGTGTTGGAGCGGAACATGCCCCGCATGTCTTCACCTCAAACACCATGCCATGGCGTGTCGACAAGCGCAGGCAAGTACATTTTGACCGGGAACCTGACCACCGCGGTCTTCGCGGATGACTGTCGCTTCGAAGACCCGAACAACGCGGTCAGCGGCTTGGCGCGCTACCGGCAGGCGCTCAGCGTGCTGTTCGACCCTGAGGAGCGACGTGTGGCGACGTGTGGTGCAGAAGTCTTCGTGTTGGGCTCGTGGTTTTCGGTCGAATGATGGTTTTTGTTGACTTCCTGTTTCACCAACTAGGGTTGCCAGTATTTCACCCAAACTGCAGTATACAAGGAAGTAAGAAAAAAGGCGCCCCTTCGCCCGGAATCTGAAGTAGGCGAATCACTGGATGTTCTTCGGCCCAGGAGAGTTTCCTGAAGCTCCAGGACATCTCGCTGGAGAGCGACGCCAACGCCATCCGTGCTCAGTACATTGCTGGTGGTGTGCTGAAGTTGTGTCCCGACTGGTTGGTGGGTTGGTGGGTGGGGCTTTATGCCACCTGAGGGCCGGGGAAAAGAGCCGAAGAGCTGGTGGGGACGGTCCCCCTCCACAAGCAGTGGGCAGGATCTAAGTCGGGTGAAAAGATGAACATGAAGAAATCCAAAATTGGACAATTTTTGTCCACAAGTTCGAGAAGAAAAACAGCTATAGAAGTATATTATACCGGTCTACTTGCATCAGGGCATGCGAAAAGAATGAGGCGATAGGTGTTCTTTCTTCAAGTTCTCAGGCCTCAAAATGCACAGGTAACTTAGTAACTCAAGAGATCTTGTGTTCTCAAAGAGAGGTGAGGCAAGACATGCGATGAACTGTATTGAAGATTTGTTGGCCTCAAAATGAGTGATTCTGTTGGCCAACAGGCAACAGATCTTCAAAGAGTTCATAGCATGTCTTGCCTCACCTGTCTTCAAACGGCCCTGCTTGCCCCCTCCTGCACAGACCGAGCACTTCCAAGCGGCGCATCTACCATGGCAATCAGAGTTATGCCGTGAGTTTGGGGAGTTTTTCGTGCGCTCTACATAGGTCTCTAGTGAGCATCCTCCTTTGAAGCTCTTCAAGGAAGACCCATAGTCATTGGTGGGTCCCCTCACGCAGTTCTTGACCATGCTTGTTGGGTGTGTTGAGTGTGCGCCAAGCACATCGCTTGGAACTGAGTTCCTCAAAGTATCCTTACATGGGTTGTGTAGCTCAAAATAGGGAGACCTCCGTCCGGCGTTCCGATCCCCTCAAAGTTGTGTAGAATAGACCAGTCTACCCAGCCAGGGCCAGGGGCGTCTCCCTCAAATACACACCCACATGCCGAAGGGGTCTCTGCAGCCCGAGAGGCCCTGGCGCCCCAAGATTGCTCCCTGGCCGGGCGTCCGAGATGCAGAGATGTTGGTCATCCAAGATAGAAGTCCTATGACAAGAAGCTACTAGGTTGGAGGCCATCGCTAGTAGGTTGAGGGGTGTTTTCGTGATAGATCAGGGAGGCATATGTGGGGCTATCAAACATCCAGAGCACCAAGTTTGGCAGGAAAAGATGGTGAGTCCTGTGGTTTTCTGGATTCTAAGCTTGACAAGAGGCCATGACACATGACTGGAACATAGGGTAGATCCAGACCCACAAGTCAAGATAAAGTAGAAAAAGTGAAAAACCTGGAGGTTCCCAGAGCATCTCAGACACCCATTCATTAAGACCATGAAGGTGTCGAGTAGCTTCTTGTTACTAGTAATACACTTGTTCCAACCTTAGCGATGGCCTCCACCCTAGGAGCGATGGCCTGCAAACTCTGCTTGCTGCACCTCTCCTCTTCGTGTCAGCGGCATCAGTTTCATCTTCAGGTCTGGCCAGCTGCGGTACACCGTGAACAGCGAGGGTTTGGTGGTTTCCCAGGCGGATCAGTGAAACATCGCTTGTAGATTGGAGGCCATCGCTACTAGGGTGGAGGACATCGCTGCTACTAGTCTAGAGGCCATTGCTTTTGGGTTGGAGGCCATCGCTACTAGGGTAGAGGACATCGAGGCTACTAGTCTAGAGGCCATTGCTATTGGGATGGAGGCCATCGCTACTGGGGTAGAGGAGGACATCGCTGCTACCAGTCTAGAGGCCATTGCCATTGGGTTGGAGGCCATCGCTACTAGGGTGGAGGCCATTGCTATT